GTCCGTAAACTAAGAAGCGAGACTGAATTCTGAAGACACTCACGTGAATCGTTGCCCAACTGTTCTCGAGTAGAATAAGCGTGCGGTTCGAAAAAGAAAAAAAGGAAGCAGGAGCAAAAAAATCGCGATTCAACAAGCAAGTCAATGCAGCAGCTAACAGGCTCGGAGGCGATCTTCTCCAGAGCGCGGTACCAGTCTATGCGGGGGATGCACGACTGAATAAACCCATGCTGACAGCATGCAATCTTGCGGAAAACTGGAGCGCGGGACGGTGAGACAAGCAATGAGGGATGAACCCGCGTTGGGGGAGATGGATCTCGCGCAGGTGCGGACAAGGGAGGGAACTGCGGCGGGGATGGGGCTTCGCGAACCGCCTTGATACCGTACTTGTCGTACTGTTCCGAGTCCCTGGTCTGCGGTTTCCCTACTGGCCAGGTTGCCATGGGCAGCGCCAGTCGCGGCACCCCTCCTCAGCGCATCCGAAATGTGCATTATCTCTCCCCCCCTCGCGCTGCTTTTGTTATCGCGTGCCATTTCCTCTCTCTCTCTCTCTTTCCCCACGAATTTTGGCGCGGGCATCCAATGCCTATTCAGCAATGGCGCAAAGCCCCCGGCATAAAGATGAAAAAAAAAAAAGAGCTTCGCAACCTTAAGTTCTCTTGAGCGCTCACCCTCGCCTGTAACGCTTTCTGGAAACTTCGCAAGTCTTGGAGCTCTTGCGCTCCACTCCACTAACCCGCGAAGACTAAAAAATTGCGTTCGAGACTGAGTTCAAGAAAATTCAAGACATGAACGCGTACAGCGAGAACAGAGAACTAGCACTTCGTCGATACCACGTTCGAGGGGAAATTTCACAATTCCTACAATTTCTGCGGAATGGAAACAAAATGAAATACAGTATCTGTGACTGTTTCCTAGACGAGCACGAACGTAGACACTTCAAAAATGCACCACTGGGAAATGCGAACGCACCGGGGTTTTCGGGAAATCACAAGTGAGATCCTGCTTAATAGCACGAAGCTACAGTATAGGCAAAAAACATTTCAAAGCGTGTCTCTGCTTTCACAACCTTCGCTCGCGGATTTCCTCCTTTCTGTTGCCTCACTCGCAATAAAATACTCCTGCGTCATCCGAACACAAGAACCGCGTTTTTTTTTTTCCTAGCTCTGTCTAGCTACCCTAGCCTGGGAACGGGGACTGTCGGGGACACGAACTGCACTGCACCCGAGTGGCAGCATGCACACAACCCGTGGAAACAGAGCCGTGTGGGATCAGCTTACACAGCGCGGAAAGGGCTGCGACGTTAGTCAAGTCAGGCAGTCAGACTGACTGAGTGGCCGGCGCGGCGAACACAGCGGATGCCAACGACGCACGCACGCGAACTGACCCAGTAAGCCGAGCAGTGCAGCTGCGACCATGCCGGCCCCGCGAGACGTAATTTCACCTGGGGTTGCACCCCTTCACGCACCAACTAAAGAAATATTTTTTTCTATCAATGTGCTCTCTTTCTCTTGCTTCTCTCGCGGCAGCAGTTACTGTCACTCTGGAGATGCGGCGGGAACAATTTTTTTCACCCCTTTCGAGCGCAGTGTACGGGCGTTATCGTATCCACGGCACGACTGAGGCGTCAGGCAGGAATACCGCGCTGGCCACGGACTGCGACAGAAAGTGCGGGAGCGGCGAGACACAGACAAAAAAGAGAATCAGACTCGGGGTGATATGCCTTGAGCCGGGGACCCGGAAACCAAACCACGCCTGTGCCCTGGTCAACTACCAATCGCTCTTTAGCTGCTCTTTGTGTTTCGAGCCGAGTCATGACCTTCTTGCCAACAGCGGCCTAATAGTCTGCGATCCGTGTTAGAGTGGCATGGGTTCATCTCGCCCTCTAGTGGTCGTCCGAAGTCTTACAGAAATTTCACCGAAACGCTTTTCTAGTCTGCACATGGAACACAGCGCTCGCCAGCAGGCACAAGAAAACTTGGCAGATCCTTTTTGAAACCAACGTCGAGATATGCGCCAATTTGCTTTACGTTTTTTTTCCTACTACAGTATTGGAGAAAGTTTCAGCTACAACGGCAAACATAGCTACACTTCCATGCAGTTCTTCGTCTACGTGTTTCACTAGTGGAAAACATATTTCCTTATTTGATCCTCTCAAGATATTAAATAGACGATTATAAGTTCAGAGAACTGCAAGTCTTGTGGTTTAAACTACCAAGACGGAATAGCTGTGTAAACGTCTGCGTAAAATATGAGCTGTACTTCGTCCGATGAAATGATCCAAATATTGAAGAAAGAGTCGTTGTGGAATCACAATCGAGCTTATCCTTCGATTCGATCATCAGAAAACGAGAAACCGCAGTTTCTACGTCCTGACTCATCGTCGTACAGCAACAACTATTTGACCGTATAAGCTTACAAAGACTTGAGCAATGGAAAATATGCTTACGTTAGAACGTATAAGGCATGAGTTTCAGGGTTTCAATTTCCAAGTTACATCTTCTTTTGCTTAAATTCCCAAGAACCTGCCTCTATGCTAGAATTTTCTGCTTTTTAGAGAGCTTTTCAACGATGACTAATGCATTTGCATTAGTGTCTCAACCGCTGTCCGAAATGCGGTCGTAAGCGACACGAGCGCAGTTATGCATGTACACTACAGCACTGGGGTGTTCACGGCTCCGAGGAGGGGCGAGGGTTTAAGAAGGAAGAAAAAAAGTTGGGACACCCCCGAGAATAAACCCGCATTTACACAACAGCACAGGACGCCACGCGCTGGCCTCAGCGAAGACCGGACACCCCGTTGTGCCCCAACAGCATCCCCGACGCGTCCGCACATGTCGGCGCCGAATGTCGACTAAGGCGCTTCGCGACGATCAAACCCGCTAGCATGCTTCACTAGCAGCGATGGCTGTCCTCCCCCCTGGCTGCTTCCCAGGATGATAGCCACTGCTGCTGGTTCCCTGCGCCCCCGGCTCCAGTTTCCCCGCGCCTGATATCCCAGCCAGCGCCTTCTTCCATCTCACTGGGGGCGAGAGTGACAATTCCTCTGCCAATCGCGAATCGCTCCTCCTACTTGTCGAGGGCGATTGGACTGATCGAACAAGGACGAAACAGTACGGAGAAAAAAGGCGCTACGATTCCTCGGTCCACGAAACCCAAGAAAGCATTGAGCCAGAACGCGGCATAACCATGCATATCATGCACACTACTTCTCTTCTTTTTTGTTAAAGCCAGCGCCGGTTGGAAATTCTGAGGGGGGAATGCTTTAAAATTTTAAACCCTCCGCCTGACCACCTTCGGTCCGTTTCTTTCACCAACGAACAAGGCGAAAAAAAGATGCACAAAAGGTAGAAAACATATGGAGAACGCGTAATACAGCTCACATCCGTCGGGGAGAACCAGAGGGGGCAGAAATGAAAAGAGGGCAATATGGTTTTGATCCTCTCCCCATCGTTTGCTGGAAATAGCGTCTGAATTAGGTTTTCCTCTTTTTTCTCCCTCTCGCTTACGGATAAATACATTTTACTGCGAACCAGGTATTACAAGGCTTTCGTTTTCCCGCTTGCTCCATTTTCTCGCAGGTTGCACCTTGCGATCTCCCCGGTGTGAAAATTAAAAAGACATTTCGGAGGCTTTCAAGGCTTCTTTTTTTCAAACCGCCCCATCGCCCACAATGGGGGTTAAATCCGAAGTATGGAAAATTCCGGGCTTTCTCGCACCAAGTTGTTATTATTCCGAACATAAATATGATTTCATTCCCCAGGATGAAGAGACGAAGAATACGGAGCGAGGTTTCGCCGGAATATCAGCAACGAGGAGCGCCCACGGGCTTTCCGGCTTCGACTCGTGATGCGGAAAAGAATTACGGCCTCCGGCCTGACGGCAACAACCAACAAATCATAAGGGCACCGCAGGAAAACATTTTCTACCTGAAAGCAGAATTTTTTCCCCCGGGGTCCGAAAAAGGAAAACAACATTAATGAGAACGCAAGGAGAGCAAACGTAGCCTTGTTAGGCTTCCGACGAATGCCTCGTTGCATTAACGGAGATTTCTCACGTTCACGTGACCAAGACCAGGCTTTCAACAATTGCACAATTTTTACCTTCATTCCGATGCACTTGCGGAGTGAAGGGGGCATATGCGGGGACTTAGTACATCTTACAGTGAGCTATAATGAACAGCAGATACAACCACCCGGTATTCTAGGAGAGAATGTGTTGTTTGAGACTAACTAGAACAACGAATGATTATTTTATAAGTGTGAAAAGATCCTTCCTTCCGTCGCATAAACCAGAATTAACCCGGGAGGAATAATCAGATAATAGCAGTCTATGGACTGAAATTGTCTGATGCCCCGTCAGAAACCATCGTTCCAGCTAAACTGTGAGAAAATTGTCATGTCTTTCCATGTCATTTATGGGAAATCACGTCATAAGCATCGAATACCGCGAACGATAAACCTCTTCTTGGAACAAATGAGGCGCGTTCGTCGAGACGTTTTTCTCCGTACGGGCGTAAAGAGAAGAAAGTTAATTAAGTTTACAGTATATATTTTTTGCACTGAGAGTATGTTTAATGGTAGAACACCAGTCGCCGCGCGCAATGAACCACGTCTTGGAACAATTGCGGCACCACTGTACAGTTCTGGATATCCCGCACGAGATGACGGGAGCGCCTTCGCACGACACGGCTCACGCACCCGGAATGAGAACCCCGGAACCCAGTTCCATCGCTTCCAAACCCCCTCCCCTCATCTCTTTCCCCCCCACAAACGGATTGAAAAGAACCCGCGTGTCAGTTGGCGCCGAGGATTCATGTGATCATGGTTGCGACACTGCTCCCCGCCTTTGATTCCGCATTATTTTTTCTTTCAGCCCCAGCCAGCGAAACCTCAGTCAATTTATGCGCGAAGGAGGACCGTTAACTGGATTAATCACCGCCATCGCGCGCTTTTCAAAAGGGGTAGCTTCCATTTTACAGCCGCGTCATATGGCCGAATTTAAATGAACTTGAGGCAGACAACAGACTTTTGCCAGCACAAGAAGATGTTACGCTGGAAAGCCGTTCCCAGCTCGGAATATGTCTGTGCAAGAGTCGCGAGAGATGCGAGGGGGGAAAAAAATTGGTGCTCACCGACCGAGGATTGACGCCACAGCTGCGATGGCCAGACCGTGGAACCCGACTGGTCACTGCATCCGACTCCGGGCGCGATTTTCAAGCAGCCGCCGTCGCATTTTCCCCACCCGATCACGTCAACGTTTTCGTACACATCATCTGTGAAAAAAAATTGATAAAAGTTAAAACACACAAAAAAGTGGAGGAAAACATTATGCCTTGCTTTCAGCTCCGTGCACCACAACCGCGACGCGAGGAAGGAACGTTCGAAAAACCGTGTCGCTCAACGCAAGAGCTGCTGGCAGTCTCCTGCCAACGACGACATGCGCCGCGAGGTACCAGAGACATGACGCGAAAAAGCGACGCGGCAGCTCGAAGGAGCAACGCAGACTGCGCTCAGTGGCGCCGGCACCAACGCGACCTAGAGCCGCATCATCCCCTGCATGGTCACGTAACGAATTCCTAGCTCAGGTGAGTTACTCCGCATCCAACCCTTTCATTCCAGACATTTGAGTGATACTAACGAGAGGCAAGGGAAAAAATCGAGAGGAAACCGAGGCAGCTGAAACCGCTGCGGGCGGCTCACAAGACGTCAACACGGAATGAATCGGCTGTTCTCGTGCAAGCCCGACGAATGCACGCGCGAGTGCGCTTGGTACTTGTACAGGGCCTTGCAATGCGGAACGAAAGACAGGGAACGCTTATGGAATCAACGAACGAAAGAAAGAGAGAGAGAAAAATAAATTTCCCTCCGCAGTCAAACATCCTCCGCACTATCAAAGCTCAACCGTAACTCCTCACATGAGCCCAACTGATAGACGCCCAAAATCCGTTACCGTTCTTAAGCTGGAAAGTCCAGTTCGAGGTTTTTAAGCGCTTTTTTTTCCTGGATTGTACATCATTCAAGACAGAAAATGACCTACCAGCACCACTACCTGGTTAAGTGTTCGTTTTGCGTTCCAGGCCCAAATAAAATCGCTAGGTTTCTGCCCATAAGGGCTTCTAGAATGAGGTCGACAAGTTTCTAAGCTCTGAATGCACATTGCACATACAGTACCAGGTAAGCTTAGCCTCGAATGCGGGACAACCTTACGTACCACCTCCATACGGTGCCCAATAACCACCAACTTAAATGCCCTGGTCTAGCTTAGAAGAGGACTACAGTATATGTTTCCTGCGCTTCTCCGATAACTACAATACGATGCGTGATTAGGAGAACGAAACCACAGAACAGAAGCATGACCTTTTTTTAAAGTTCCGCTTTGCTTAAGACAAAGGTTCGCGAATGCGTCAGAGCATTTTGGAAAGCTGGGTTCAGGCTGGTTTCCGAACACACACTGGCTTTAGTCACAGTCAGGAAGCTGGGCTCGACTATTTTCCAGGAGACAGTGCACTAGGAACCGACGCGTCGTGACCCGTCTGGGCCCGCGACTTGGAACAGAATAATCGCACAGATACCGGGTACCCATCGGCACAACCATCGGCCAGTTCGCGTTTCAATGGAGCGGAGAGCCCACCCTCGCTGAAAACCAGTACCGGTGTCATGAAAAGCTCCTCCCCGATACTAAGAAACTAATAAGAACTTGAATGCCGCAGTACCTGACAGTACTTCCTTGTATTCGTCTCAACTTACGTTCCTTTTTCTCCTCCCTCCCTCTCTATTTCTCTCTCCGCGCTTCCTCTATATGCGTTTCCTCCACACGGCATTGGTCTTCCCAGAAGCCTTACGACATGGCAATTATGGAAGTTCTTCCTCGTCTGAGAAGTTAAATTTTTCTCTTGGTCTTGATTCTAGAAAACCCTGGTCTAAACGCTGGTCTAAATAACACCAGAAACGGAAGTTTAGATTTATAGCCATATCATTTCGTCAAGCCGAAGAGGAAAAAGTAAAATCAAAGGTGATCAACAGGGCAAAAACTCCAGAGCGGGGAATTCTTCGTACACCTCTTTTCCTGCAGCTCTCGAATCGCGATAAAATATATTCAGCACCACTACGATCTATCTTCAACAATTTTTTTCTTCAATGCACACACTAGGAAGAGACTTGTCGCACTGCCAACGAGACCGCAAGGCACTGATGAAATGCACTGCGCGTTGCGCCACCTTTTTTTAAGCCACGGACGACCGATCGTACTAAAGAAAATTACGGTAACGGGCTACCCGGAGCTGGAAAGTGGCAATAAGCCGAGGACGTGCGTATACGTTCCCGACAGGTACTAAAATAAAATCCAACGCGGGAAATATAAAACTTTATAAAGCCGTGGAGGAAGGCGGGGTGAGAGAAGGGGAAAAAAGTACAATCAAGGCTGGCTCAGGGGTTCGCCGCAGATTAAGTACCGGAGGTGGCATCTCGGATTTTGATCGCTCTGGTCGTGCACGTGTATTCATCCATCTCTCTAGTCGAGCCATGCAAGCTGTCCTGCATAGCTTCGGAGTCCCACTCCCAGGTCATCCACTCGCGCTCACTCTCCACCGATTCATACCATCTTTCGGCGCTCCACCACCGCAGCTCGAACGCCGGTGACCAAGGGGTGAAAAGGAGAGGGAAAAAACGGAGGGAAAAAAGAAGCTCCATCATGCTTCACATATGGAATTGCCGGAAGCCGCTGCGCATTGCGCAAATCTCCGCATTCCCGAAAAATTCAATAACCATTCGTTGTTTGATGCTTCAAATGGAATAAAACGCTGATTGGATTCTCGGAAATGACTTTCTATGCTGTATACGGAACATGAGCACGACACTAGCCATTTCCGCTGTTCTCGCTACTATTTTTAGAATGAAAAACATGTGTGCAGCTTTTAATAAGTTCCCCAGTGTTGTTTCCTCTCAATAAGAATTTGTAAAGCTCGCAATGTTTCTGCCTTGTATATTTCCAGATGTATTTCTCGGTCTCATTGACCACGTCACATTCAAAAATGCGCATCACAATGCACAAAAATAATAACCAAGAGAAGTTTCTAGACACGCTCAACAGTTACTGTCCTCGAAATTAACGCAGTTTCCAGTGATCTTCTTTCAGTTTTCACAATTATAATTGATCTATCGAAATTCGAATCCAGCTTTTACAGATTCAACAAAATCTGAGTTCAGTATCAAACAAGGAAAACTTCCTTAATCGCAAGGACGGTTGCTCTTTACATCCTTCGCGTTAACGTCATCAAGCTTTTCAAATCCCGATAGACGTAATCGAACTCCATTTTACTGCTGCTTGCTGTTGATTTCAATCGAACGCAGTTCAAATTCAGGTTCCGAAGATCATCCATGGAAACCTGGGCGCCATCGAACAAGGAAAAGCTGTTCTTGTGTTACACGAAGTAATACTGTACAAGAGGTGAGAGGTGAAATATGTCTTCAATACGACGATTCCTCTTGAATATTGCACTTAATTCACTCGAAGAGCAAATAATTAGTCTTGAAGCGCTTGAAAATTCCCCAAAAATTCGAGTGCGGAAGCCTTTCTGAAACTAGTGCATAATTGTTCGCAGGAAGTTAAAGCTGTCGGAAGCTCACACGTGAGGGAGGCGGAGGCAAAATATAAGGAACTTGAAATAAAATTAGGCTCACTATGCAGTACTCCGCAAAATCTCCACGAGTTACGAGATTTGGCTTTTTTTTTACATCGACACGGTGCTTGGAAAAGTTCGCAAGTGCCGGCTGGTTCTGGCTTTAACAAGGATGCCAATTTTCTCAACGCATTGTCGTGACAAATTCTGCACATAACCGCTAAATTAGCGGCTGGATTGTTTCTTCAAATAAAACAGACATTTCACTCCACTGTCGCGAAGTGATCTACAAGTACTCCATCGAAAAATCTAAAATAGCTTCGCTACAAATTCGACGTTCGAAAAAATAAACCACCGCCAAAATTGAATCGACATTCGACTAGAAGCGGAAAGTATTTCAAGTTGGACTTCGTTCGATCCGAACTCTCCGAACGTCGCGACACGTATACCGATGACAAGCTGCGTTCACGACGCACGTGCTCGTCCCAAAATCTGCAAAAGTACTGCCTTCAGTCCCAGCGGTTCAGTACAAGTACGTCGTACTTTCTCGCATCAAAAAACCCAGATTTACGAGCCAGATCCGCGTCCTATTTACCGTAGTCTAGAGCGCAGATGCTGCTCGTGGGCTGCGCCAATCCTTCCGGCAGTTATTGCCTTGCACAAGAGAAGATAATTATTCATTGCCAAATTCAAGCAAGATTCAAATCAGCAATAGGAACTTTAAAAAGATAGTAAAAGTTTCCGGATATTCGGCGTACCCCAAATCGTAAATAACGGCGCGGTTTTTATCTTTCTCTGCCGTCTGCCTACTTTCTCTCCTATTCTGAAGCAGTGCATAAATTAGTACGAAAAAAAAATCTCTGCCAGATTATTAAAAGAATCGAGCAGCCTCAATTACACGATACTTAATATAGAATAGTATAGTATTCTGTTGAAAACATGTAAGATACAGTATTTTAAAATTTATTTATTCATTTACTTTTTGCATATATCCGTTGTGGCAGACGATTTTTTGAAAATGCTACTGATTAGAATGAAGTGAACAAACCCGTTTTAATTAGGCGTTCTTTTGAAAAGTCAATGAACAATATTCGTATTATGAATTATTTTATTAACCGCTGCAGTGTAGTACAGTATATGGTGAGCGTTTTTCAGGTGTCGAAACGATGTGAAAACAAAAGGCAAGGCGTCATTGTTGAATTTTTTCATTCTTTGTCTCGAATCGAGACGCGAAGATGAGGAAAGATAAGAACAGAAGCGACGATTTCTTAATTTGTTAAGTTGACTGCTACTTCAGAAGTTGCTGAAACAGATTTAAATTGGCGGACACCCCAAATGTACTAGCTTATTAATCTTAATTTGGGAAATGTTTCGAAATCAGTGGACGACGTTTGAGAGGGCGACGAACCAACAAAAAATCACATGCGGCGTCGCAGAAATATTTTCTGGCGCCCTCAAAGAAGACCTTCGAATGAAGACGCAAGGATGAGGCAGAATCAGACGTAGTTAATTGATCATTAAGGTATGGCTGCAGCTGAAGTACCGCGAATTTATTGCAAGGGTTCACCGGGATGGAAGTGAAGTGGAGTTGAGGTCGACAGGAAGGAGGGCAGTAAATTGATTTAGGCTTCGCGAATCGCGGCGTGACGGTTCTAGATCCCCTTAGCTAGGGGGGAGGGGGGGGGATCAAGCAGGTTTACTCAGACGCAAAAATCCTCCCAGGGATGTGGTTCAACGTCTCTGCACAGAGCCTGGGGCCACGGTCGGCCACCATTGTACACCGCGCGTGAACAAGTACCTAGCCAGTACTCGTGGCTAATAGCTCCGAGCAATAAAAAAGGGGA